ATCAGGCCTGACCAAAGTTTTTGATTTTGATTATTTTATTTGTTTGTTTTGTACGTTTTTATGTGCGTTAAATATGACCAAACCATTGCATTTTAAGAGATACATGTAAGGGATCTGTCACAATCACATATATTCCCAAAGCTGCTCCCAGATAGGACACAAGGGGATCCACAGGACTCACTGTAAGACTTTAGATGTTGATACTACTGTATATTTGCATTCACACACATTCAAATCCAGGCAGCAGCAGATTGTGATATTTCATTGCGATGAAAAGAAATTTACATTCACAGAAATTAAAGTGGTCAGAGCTACAGTTAAATCTATGCATGGTGCTCTATAGATAGGTGCATGTAGATAAAAGTTCTTCTATGCAGTAATGTTGGACAGCAAAATACTGTCCACCATAACTCCAATGATGTCCATTCAGGAACAGTTCCCAAAAAAATCAATGAGGGTGCTTCACAAAAATATGGGTGTATCCATTAAAATATTCATGGTTATTCAAAAATAGAAGGAAATTGTTTGTGAATATATCATCAAAACTGCTGGAATATCCATGCTTTAACTGCTGCTTTGTGGAGTTTACAACCACAAGACAAAAACGCACCAAGGTTCTATTGAAGAGTACAGCTTCACATGAATAACATGATATAACAGGGTTATATAGATACGTTAGTAAACATAAGTAAACATCAGTACTGACAACAGAACATGCAAACAGGCCCATGTGCAGATTTTTTAAGGGCATCAAGGGAAAAAAAATAAGAGCAATAGGCACATGAATTGGGCTTTCAGAGATGGACAGGAATCTCTATGAATGTATGGATCTCCTGATGTTGGGGTAAACTCTTAGAAAGTTGTACTATGAGTATAATGTTCTGATGAGTGTAAATGATTTCAGGAAAGGATTGTCCTGCAGCAGCTTTGAACCAGAGCACTCAGAGTTCTGCTGCTCTGATCTCAGAGAGGACTATGCACTGCAGAGTGACCAACTCTCCTGGAGAAATAGTCCCCTATACTGGAGTTTGGAGCACTGATATGTTGAACTGATGGTGACCTGGTGAATATAATAGGGCCTTATTCACAGATACACTGTGTCATGATTAAAAATGATATTGTGTTAAAAAAATTCAAATGTAAGACATTCACCCAATATTTTATTCTAAATACAATAAATACACAATAATAGATATGAAAAACAGTAATGTGATTACCTGTCACAGCTAAGACTATGATATTGGAAAATGTAAATGTTTTTCCATCACTTTTTTCACAGAAGTACATTCCTTCCTCATCTTTGGAGATTGATTTAATAATCAGAGGAAAATCTCCATTTAGACTGCATTTTGAATCAGGTAAAAGAGGATTTTTGTTGTCTAACTTTAATACCATTTCTTTTAGGTTTCTTGTAGGTTGTTTGTACCAAACCTTGACATTTATATCAGACTTTTTTAATTTTACAAGACAGGGTAACACTTTCTCCAGCCTTAACTGAGATAAACTATCTCTCATTAAGCTCCACAGCTTCAATAAGACCTAGAAAATTACATAAAATTAATTATAAGCAATACGAAAAATAGTGGTTGACATTTTAGCAACAGAAGTTACATAAGTCCAGAATCAAATTGTTATTTAATATCTGACACTTTTGTGAGGAGCTCATAACTTATTAAGTATTTAACATATTAAGTAGAGAGATAAAATGGGAATCTGAACTGGAACCATTATCGTCATCATCATCATCATAAGACGCTTTACTTATTTAAAGTAACTTGGAAAGGAACCTTCTGACCAAACCAGCAAACTGCATTAGCATGCTGAGCTCAAGAGATCTGATTTGCCAGCAGTTTTAAATTTTATTTATTATTATTATTATTTTTTTGCTTCTGATGATTCAAGTGTTATTATAAGAAACAGTCCACTTAACAATTCATATATATATATATATATATATATATATATATATATATATATATATATATATATATATATATATATATATATAATTATTGTCATTGTAATTGGCATCCCTGCATTTGGTACTTTGTGCAGCCTCCCTTTGCCAACATAAAATCAGTTTCCTGTTTTGTTAACTATTCCTCAGCAAACACATTTTCAATGGGGTTTAGATCAGAAAACAAAGATGGTCATGTCAAAAATTTGATTCTGTGGTCACTAAAGCATTTTACTGTGGAATTGGACTTGCCATTAGAATACCTGATGTTACCAGTAGGAGGCAGTGTAAGCATTGGCTGTGCTCTGGGTACCTACAGTAGTTTGCGCATGATCGATAAGATGGAATAAGACCAGAGCTAAGCTGATTAATAAAATAGAGGATGACATTTAAGCTAGTTAACAATAAAGCCAAAAGGCATCAAAATCAGAGCCATTATCATAAAGAAGCTGTTTTAATTAAAAACAGACTGGAGAGAAAGCAAGCGCACCACACTGTATCAGCAGGTTGGGCTCAGTAAATTAAAGTCATTGGCTGCTGAAAGATTTTTTTTTTTTTTTCGATGTGCTTGTTGTTTAACCTCTTATATGTACAGGGCCATTTTATTACATGCTCATATATATATATATATATATATATCTTAAGAATACCTCAACCATTTTGCAATTAAGTCCCTGTAGTTACTGAAGAATAACTAATCCCAAAGGTATTGGATTAGTTCCAAAAATCACCTGACTCTACCTACAGCATAAAAGAATGAAATCCTGAAAATTACAAACCAATAATATGAGAATTTAGGTTGTTATTCATGCTAAATTATTTGCATCATAAAGTACAGATATGTGCAAAAGTTTGGTGTCCTTGGTCAAATCACATGTTTTGTTGATTTTCTAAGTAAAAGAAAAGTCACACATCCTCCACAGAGAAACACACTTCTGCACATTTTAATACACAATTACTGTTAATTTGCCACATTTAACGTACTGGGAAAAAAAGCGTAGCATAAAAATGCCATATTTAAGTGTTTTCTTATTTGTGTAACATATTTTCAGAAAATCAGCAAAACATGTCATTTGATCAGGGGTGCCCAAACTTTTGCATATAGCTACAGTATTCAAGCATTTATTCTATATTATGACAACTAATAATGCAATTATTAACATAACAGATCAATAATTACTTACTAATACTGGTCAAAATAAACAAAGTTTAATTCATAGTGAATAATTATTTGAAAATGTCTGATTTGAGTTTATTAAACAGAAAAGACAAAAGTAATAAATCTGCAATATGCATATATTAAAATAAAGTGTTACGAACTCTCGTTGGCTGTGCTCTGCTGATGATATTGTGCAAATCTGAGAAGGCAAGTAAATTAAAGAATTTATGAAGTACATAAATTCATAAGGTATAATTGTATTCATATTCATACAAGTATAATGAAAGTGCCTTAACTGCCTAAGTCTTGTTTCATTCACAGATTCAAAAAATTAAAGATTATCTGTTTTTCTTTTATATGTATGTATTTTTTTTTTTCTATGCCTCTTTCGCCTAGCTTGACACTCTGATGACTGTATGGGATCATTTGTACATTTTATTATCCACACAAACTAAAAATCTAAAGAATCTGAAATATCAGCTCTATAAGAGTTATTAGAGAGCTCAGCTGTAAAGCAGAGCACTGAGAACAGAAATGGGCAGGTTTGTTTCTGGTTGAAACTAACATATAGCTTAAAGAATAAGTGTATAAAGAGTACCTGTCTGGTGGTCCTATCACTCACAGCCCCCTCCTGAACTTTCTCTGTAAAGAAGGTAAAACTTCACAATTACTTTCAGATACAGTTTAATGAGGCTAAACCTATTAGTAAGTATTATCACTATTTTCTATTTTCTTTCAATCAAAAGTTTCAGCTGTATCTCATAATGAACACTTACCACCAGCGTGGTGTTCAGATTTTCTCAGTTTATGAATTAAAATGGTTTGAATGCAGATTACAGCCACACACACTGCTGAGACACCTGCCAGAGTCAGCATTACAGGACCTACAGGATCTACAGACAATTGGACCAATTGGACAGGTAATTATTAAAATACTGTATACATGAACACAGCAGTTCAAGCCATGAAACCTCTTTCCATCTAAACTTTTTTAGCTTGAATTTTATGCCAAGTAATTTTACATTTATTAAGAAAAATAATTTTAAACATGATGATTTTAGTTTTTTGTCTGCTGTATATTCTTTCTCTGCTTTCCTGATCGTCCTGCACCCCAAGCTGGTGTACATTTATTTCTTACAGTACAGACCTGAGCTGGGTCTGTTGGGTCAATTGTGTCTTATACTTGTCTTTATCTCAGTACAGGGGAATTCCACCAATTAAAAAAAATAAATAAAAAAAAATCTGCGTAATTAAAAATATACATTTTACAAATTACAAAATTACATTACAAAACATTTTAAGTGGTTTGCTGCGGTGGTTGGAGCATCGGAAAGAAACATACAGAACCAGAGATGGGAAATATTTAATGCCTCTGAAAGCTCCTTCACAGAAAATTATTACATGAGATGCCTGATATATTTTGATGTGAAATGTAAATTTTTGTAATTCCATTAATGGTCAGGAGATACATGCAGGGGTGTCAACAAAGATACCCAAATAAATAAATAAATAAATAAATAAATAAAATTCTTTTACACTACTGTTTCCCCTTCATGACTATTTAAATATATGTAAACATTTATTTTTAATAATAAGTAAAGTTTGTGTTGTATTTCATGACCTCTGGTTTTGATCAGTGCCAATGTAAAGAAATATGAGTCAGTAAGTGTCTCTACAGTGAATCATGTCACATTAAACCACTCTGAACGACTTTGTTTTCTTTATTTTCATCTAAGATCAACAATTGTAGAATTTTCCTTTAAGGTGCAGCAAAAGATTGGGGTCAAAACTATAAATGAATAGCTATAGTGTAGCAATGCTCTGTCATCTATAGTCTTACGATTTGGGTTACAACACCTGTTTCTGTCATATTTTCTGTTTTTTTATTTTGATTTAGACACATATCATTGATTATGAGGCCCAAGTCATTATTAGAATGTAAGTCTATGCAGCTCTAATGCACTTTTATGAACCTTTTATTTGCCTTACAAATTTTAAGTTGAAATATATAGTGTTTGTAAGTATATGCACACTACATGAGTGCCTAGTAGTACACAGAATGACTTACTCAGTTCTACTGATGTTCCATTACCAACAATGATCTTCCCACAAGCAGCCACTGTGCAGTAGTAAGTTCCAGTATGGTGGTGGTCGAGGATTTTCTTGGAGAGGTTGTACACAGAGCTCTCAGTTGTACACAGAGCTCTCAGTTCTGCTGCTTCAATCTCAGAGAGGACTGTGCACTGCAGAGTGACCGACTCTCCTGGAGAAACTGACCCTGTTACTAGAGTTTGGAGCACTGATATGTCTGACTGCCCTGGAAAACATAATAAAGACAATGTAGGAATTTTAATTCAATCGTAAAAGTGCAATAAAAGGAATAAAACAGTGTAGTAACAGCCCAACAGTGAAGGCATTACTGTGAAAAGTAATAGAAATTTACAGAATATATTTACACTACTATCAATGTCAACAGTGTATTCAATACTGGCTTCATATGATTGATTTTAAAAAATAAAGCATTCTTATGGCTTATTATAAAAGACATTGTACATGAAAAGAACACTGAAGGCAATAAATCAATTATATCACCTGTTACAGCCAATAATGTAGCATTAGAAAATTCCATCGCTTTCTGTCCGTCCACCCTACAGAAGTACAGTCCTTCATCTTCTTTAGTAACAGATTCAATCCTGAGAGAAATGCCACCTTCAATGTTGTCTATTTTGAATCTTGTTTGTTTGAAATGTGATGACATTATTGGGTCCTTATCTTTAAGCTTTGATCCCACTTCCAGTGGAACATGCTCCAGTCTTTGTTTGTACCAGATCCTATTTTTTGCACTAGAGTTGTCTACAAATGTGCAGCTGAGAGTGACCGCTTCACCAGTCTTAGCTGAGATGACCAACGGCTCTGAATTTCTCACTGCACGAGCAGAATCTGTAAAACAAAGGTCACTTTCAGTCAATTTGAAAAACATGGATGAATTATAAAAACAAGCAGAATTAACATTAATAAAACAAAGACAATTTTTGTTGTTGGACTTTATGAAACTTACATATTTTGTAGAGAAGTAAGATGATAATCGCAGCTCGAGCCATCACTGGAAAAACAACAGTTATAACTTGAAGGCAAAATGTAGGCAAGGATGTAAAAAAAGCATCAAACTGCATTAGCTCACTGGGTTCTTATACTGAAGCTCATTGGCTGGTAAAAGTCACATGGTTCTTTCTGTCTGCTTGATTTGATCTGTTTGGCCACAAAAAGTTCTCTGGGCTCTGTGTGAGCTCTTATCAGTACTAGAGAAGCAGTCATGTATAAGGAGCCTCCGGTATCTGCCTGTGAAGGTTTGAATTGTAGAATAAAGAATCTAGGATTGTTTTGGTTTTCAGTTGTGCTGTTGGAAAGATTTACTTACCTTTAACTGCTTAAATCCTTGTAGACAATATATTTCTCATATATTGCAAATGAATATATGACCATTTTGATTTATTCAGTCTCCATTTGTTTGAGTAAGGGTTGGCCTTAGATTGCGATTTATTTTGTTTTCAAGTTTTTGTCTTTATTTTATTTATATAAATCTTCATTAAGTACCTAATAACTAATAAAGATTTTAGTTAATAAATCTTGTAATGTCACCCTGTATAGATGGCAAAGCCAAAAACAAGAAGACCTGAGAAAGAAACATTAATACATAAAATATCATCAGTTAACTCTGTATGAATGATAAGTCCAGGGCGATGCTGTAGAAGCTCCAGTACCAGACTGAGTAAAAAGACTAATTTCACCATCCAGGAATTTATTGACATGAAAATTAAAACTACTGTTTAAACTCATCATTATGTTGACACTTGTCATTATGATAAGGTTTATGATATATACTGACAGTAATTCAGTACAGATATGAAAGACAGGAGATGTATACTATGGTGGGTAGACTAAAACAGGACTGATATGGTTTGTTATCAAAACAAAACCCTGTATCTCTAAAGCAGTAACTTTATAAGAGAAAGAAAAAACAGATCGAGTAACATTTATATCAGTCAGTTCATCATGAAACATCTTCATCATTATCACCACTTTTATTTACATAGTACCTTTCCATGCTCAAGATGCTTTCCAATCAGAAAGTAACAAAATACAACCCTACCAGTCCTGGCAGCCCCAAAGCTGCAGTACAGCATCAACCAAGCAGCCAGCCCAGGCTGCAATGTCACGTCGATCAGGTTCCCAGTCTAGAGAGCCTTGTAGCCGTCTCTCAAGCAGCTGGTCCAGGCTGCATCATAGCTGTGATGTAGTGTTACCCTAACGGCCAGACAAAGAAGCCTCTAAGCCGTGCTAGGAAAATCCATGTGAGTTGATATGATAGCAAACTCCTCAGCCAGCAGGGAAACATAAAAACATACACAAACATATAAAAACCGCTGTATAGCTGCAGCATTATTGTGCCAGTGTGCTTACAGTGGAGCACACACGCACCCATGCACACACACATCTTTATACTCTACATTACCGGATTGAGAAAAATAAGTTTCAGTAAGAAGCTGAAATTTCTGCCTTGTGACTTCAGCACATTGACCCCAAAGAAAAAGTGAAAAAAAATGATTTAATATATATTATTTCATATAAGATGTATGCTGTCTAGACATTATAAGATGGTTTAAACAATTAAAAAAGCTCATCTTTCAAAAAACTTTGTAAAACATGCCCTCTTGAGGAATTAGAGCTGCCTCTGTGTCGCCAAGTCCTTTTACCCATTCATCCATCCATCCATCCATCATCTAAACCGCTTATCCTTCTGAGTTGCGGTGGGTGCTGGAGCCTATCCCAGCTGTCATTGGGCGGAAGGCAGGATACACCCTGGACAGGTCGGCAGTCCATCGCAGGGCAGACAGACAGACATACACATTCACACACACTCACACCTAGGGGCAATTTAGCATGTCCAATCAGCCTGACTGCATGTTTTTGGACTGTGGGAGGAAACCGGAGTACCCGGAGGAAACCCACGCAGACACGGGGAGAACAGGCAAACTCCACACAGAAATGACCCTGGTCACCCGGCCGGGAATCGAGCCCAGGCCATTCTTGCTGTGAGGCGACAGCGCTACCCACAGCGCCACCATGAACTTTTACCCATTCAGATCCAAATAAATCATACGCACATTTATTATTATTATTATTATTATTTTTTATTTTTTTTTTTATATTCAGCGTATCAATAGCAAGCACCTGAAATGTGAAGTGTATTAGTTTGGCTGCTGAAAGTCATAGCTTGTAAAAAAAAATAATAATAATAATAAAAAAAAAATCACATAATGTTGATTTTCTACAGAGAACACACTTCTGCACATTTTGATAAACAATTACTGTTCATATGCTGAATTTAACACATTGAAAAAATAAATACATAACTAAAATCTGACTTTTGAAAAGCTCTGGCACTTTTTTTTTTTAATTTGTCAAAGTCAACAAATAAATTAAATGCTTTTAATAGAAGTTTTTATATATAGATGTAAAACAGGTGTAGCGTGAATTCAGTTTCAAACTATCAGTCACAATCTGTAAAGGCCTGCAGAGTGACCACAGCTTTATTTTAGACTGATTATATGGAAATTCTCACTACTATCTGAAACACGTCTTCTGCATTTCCATCAACACAATATCAGACACCATCTGAGCTCATAAGCACGTTTGCCACACGTGAGACATGTGACTAACCACACACTCTAAAACTGCTCTCGCTCGGCTCCTTCAGAGAACTGACACTTCATACCAAACTGGACTGTTTTTTTCAGTCATGCAGTTTTGAGCACAGAGCAAAGTGAAGCACATGATTGTAGATCCTGACTGAAATCAGGACAAACACAAATAAACAGATACAGATTACAAAGCTGACAGCAACAGAAAATATCCACAAACTTCACTTCTGCTGCTACAATAGAAGACAGTCCAGTGAGTCAGTGATTGTTGGGGTCAGTTGTTATCCGTTGTCGACCAGAGGAGGATGGGTTCCCCTATTTGAGTCTGGTTCCTCTCGAGGTTTCTTCCTCCTGTTGAGGGAGTTTTTCCTTGCCACTGTCACCAAGGCTTGCTCACTGGGGGCGTGGACCCGGATTCTTTGTAAAGCTGCTTTGTGACAACATCTGTTGTAAAAGGCGCCATATAAATAAATTTGACTTGACTTGACTTAGTGCATATTGATTTTTTTTTTCAGACAGGCATATGGTTTATAAGATAACGAAGTGTAAAATCATAATGTCATTACCTGTCACGGCTAAGAATGTGCCATTATAAAAGGTAATGGTTTTATCGTCTACTATTCCACAGAAGTACATTCCTTCATCATCTTTAGTAATTTGTTCAATAGTCAGAGAAAAATGCTGGTTTATTTTGAATCTGCCTGATGTAGTAGTTGCTTTTATTTTTTAGGGTAATTTCACTGCAACTTCCTGAGGTTCCTGTCCTGATCTTTATTTGTACCAAACCCAATTATTTTGAGAAAACTTTTCCACAAATTTGCAGTGTAGAGTAACAGTTTCCCCAGGCTTAGCTGAAACAAAAGATGACTCAGAAAGCTCAACAGCTTGAGCAGAATCTATAAGATACAATAGATACAATCAGATCAGAGCTAAGCTGATAAAGACAATAGCTAATAACATTTTAACAAGCACAGTTAAAAGTAAATCCAAGAATTAAGAGTTATTAAACCTAAGAGCTTATAAGAAGCTCATGAACTTACGTGTTATGTAGAGACATAATATGAGAGTCCATATCAGAGCCATCATCACAAAAGAATCAGATCTTCATTGAAGTAACTGATGCAACTGAGCAAGCATCAAGTTAGCTTGCTGCGCATGTGAGTGTAACCTCATTGGCTGGAAAAAGTCACACCTTTTTTTTTTTTTTATGACTGCTTGACTAACTCATGTGTGGCCCTTAGAAGCCTTTTGGTCTTTTGGTCTTCTTTCATGTCTATTTAAGTTTTATGACAAATTGTTTTGATTCCATAAACAAGAAATAAACCCATCTGTTCTATTAAACCTTAATACAGCAGTTTCTTTCAAAAGTTTCTTCTATAAAACTCCAAAGACCCAGTAAAACAGATTTAATAATAAGAAAGAATGTGCTTGTAAGCTCAGCAAACAACACAGCAGACTGAAAGAAGCTTTTAAAAACAGGTGTTCAGCTAGATCTGATGCATTCATCAACTTATCCGTAACCAAGTAGTAATAATTTGATTTCAGTATTATTGGTGCAGTTGGTCATTAGTTCATGCTTATGAAAAGGGGAAGAATTTTTAACCAATGTAGTAGAACTTTAGACCAGTTCTGAGAACACAATGAAGTGATCTCAGTGTTAGTCTTTGTCTCAACATTATGCTTTCTCAGTCTGAGAGTCAGGCCTGTCACAGTCATGCCTTATACATCTATGGTGTTGTGAGGTCTGTAACACATGGTATTAAAAGGTTGACCTTGTGAAGAAGGGAAAAGCAGTGAGAAATGGACAGATCAGAGCTTTTCTAAGACATTTATTAAAACCAGCCACTAAACACTTACATACACTATCAACTGAGTACTTCTACATTTACTTTACATTTACAGCATTTAGCAGACGCTCATATCCAAAACAACTTACGTGCTTTGTTGTCTACTGAGAGAAAGTATCTTTGTTAGATACAAATAGATCAGAGAGAGAGCTAGTCCTGAGCTCAGATACTGCTAGAAACAAAAGTCCAAGTTGGTACATAGAGAAGTTTTGTAAAAGAGATATGTCTTCAGTTTGAGTTTGGAGACCACGAGAGAGTCTGCTGTTCGGACAGCAAATGGGAGTTTGTTCCACCACCTGGGTGCCAGGACAGAGAAAAGTCTAGATGCTTGGCCATCTTGAAGATTGAAGAATGGCAGGCCGAGCTGTACTTGAAGTTTGAGGGGCCCAAGGTACAGATACAGTTTGAGATTTAATCACTGGCATTAGGAAGGGATGAATTTGTCTGTTTTTAGCTTTGTAGGCAAGCATGAGGGTTTTAAGTCTAATGTGTGCAGCTACAGGAAGCCGTTGAAGGGAGTGCAGCAGTGGAGTGATGTGAGTGAACTGAAGACTGAAGAAAAGCGACCTGCATAAGAAGACCAGCCAAGATTGAGTTGCAGCAGTCAAGCCTTGAGATGAGAAGAGACTGAACTAGCACTTGAGTGGCCTCTTGAGTGAGAAAGGGTTGAATCCTTCAGATGTTGTACAGTAGAAACCTGCATGACTAGCTGAGAACAATAACTGGCCATCCAGAACCTCACCAAGACTTCTTACATCTTCAGATAGAACAATCAGAGAATTCTCAAATGAGATGGTGAGATCATGGTGAGGATCTGTAGTTCCCAGGCATGAATAACAGCACCGTCTTGCTAGGATTGACTTTCAAGTGATGAGCTGCCATCCATGAAGAGATGTCAGTCAGACATGCTGAGATGTGACTGGAAACCTGAGTATCAGAAGGTGGGAAGAAAAGAATTAGTTGGGTGTCATCAATATATAAGTAGTAGGAGAAGCAATGAGAGGATAATACATCACCAAGAGTGTGAAGTAAGAAGAGAGGAAGACCCAGCCTCGAGCCTTGTGGGACACCAGTGGAGAGCCTGCATGGAGAGGATGTGGACCCTCACCATGTTACTTGATAAGAGCGCCCCTCCAGATAGGACTTAAACCACTTCCACACGGAGCCAGTGATTCCAAGGTTGGTGAGAACAGCCAGTCTTGAGAAGTTCTACACTAATTACACCCATTTACAATAAAGCTGTGCCCTGTTCACACACATCTAAAATAAAGACTGCTCAAGAACTTCTTTAGGACAATGATACCAACTTCACTGGCAAAGAGACCGAACTTAATTTGCTTAATGGCTCCTTGTTAGCAGTCAGCAGCAAATAGCTTCCTGATTAAATTGCAGTTAGTAAAATTTTCTGATTAATTCCACACAGTGTGCCACATTTTGGTGGAATGGGAGAGAAAGAGATTAGGTCTGGGATGGAATTCCTCAAGGTAGTGCAAGGGTTAAAATAAAATCTCAAAATGCACAAGGTTGTCTCGCTCATTTGTACCATGACTATTAGATAGTAAATGGGGAAAGTGAGCACATTTTCTATCATAGTTTTGTAACATTACCTGCATCAAGAATCTTTTATTTTAAGGTGGTACAAGAAAAAAAGGTTAGAATTACATTCTCCTCCAATTTTACAGAAACTTAAAGCTGTTCATAATTTCCTTTTCCTAATTATTAATTATCAGGGCCGCTGGAGCCTCACCTGCTTTGTGGAACACAACCAGAAGTTGTTTGGGTCACACTGTATTCTGATGATCCTCTATATATGATCTACAGATGTTGAGGTTTAGAGACATCTACAGCCATAATGTTGGAACTGCAGGACTACAGCTGTTAGCTTATCTGTTTGTTGTGTGTGTTTAAGAAACTACCCAAAAGTCGTCTCCTTAGTAGAGCAGCACTGAAGGAATTATTATTATCTTGGAAATAAATGGTTACTTCCATTGTTTCATATAAAACATTGTAAATACATATATGTTAAAAAATCACCATAATAATATCAAAAGAAAATTTCTGAAAAATGTAATTTCTTTAATGTGACATTTTCCATTGACAGTTTCATATTTACAATCATGACAGTAAATTTACATAAACATCACTAAATGCTAAATAGCTACACAAAATTAGCTTATGATTTTTAACGGTTTCAACAAGAAATATATTTAATGTCTGACAGTTACTTGGTGATGTTTTCAGCTGGTTTGTATATGCTATAAGAAAAACAATAAGAAAGAAAGAAAGAAAGAAATGTCTAGAAAACACTGACAATTTTTATGAATACTTTTAACTCAATATGATTTATTTTCTTCATTTTTCAGCAATATTGTGTTTCTGGATTGCTCTGTAGTCAGAAACGGAAGAATCTCACTCGGGTGAACACGTTCTCCTTCAGCAGTCATCTCTTGTCTGATAAATTTAATGGTGCGAAATTGAATTCTTCATCTGAGTCCTATTTCAGAATAAATAAACAAATAAACATACAAATAAGTTAATAAATAATATTAGTACAAATCCATGATAAGGCAAATATCAATCAAGTTATAAGATGTCTCTCTCTCTCTCTCCCTCTCTCTCTCTCTCTCTCTCTCTCTCTCTCTCTCTCTCTTTATGTATTTTATTTTCTTATAAGTGAAAGTAAGTTTGTTAGCAAGTTAGAATGTTTACCTCACAGCTCCAGATTATAACTGACGAAGGTAAGTGAAAAATTGCAGGTGAAAATTTGTTTACATTTGATTTTCATGAAACCATTAAGATACATACATTGCAGACATGAGTTACATTGTTTACACAGAGCTTGAATAATATCCAGCTTGTATAATCTAATAGAAAAGCAAAGCCAGCAGAACAGGATGCTCTGAACCAGCCTCACATGAGCCTACGGTCACCATGCCCAGAGCCAAGTGTCGAATAGAGGGGTATAAAGCCCCCCAGCATTGAACTGTGTAGTAATGCAGCTCCAACCAATACCTTTGGGATGAGTTGAAGTGATTCAGAACTGATGATCCAACATCAGTACCTGACCTCCGCTCTTGTGGCGGAATTCTGCATTTTAGTGTCTCTGACCTCAGTAGAAACATTAGATGAGTGAGTGTCTAGAGACTTTTGTAAATATAGTACATATGGGTGTCAACTAATGATGTGAATCACATGTTTAAATGTATGACTTGACAGCTGGGCCTGAATAGCTGCACTGATATGAACTGGTGTTAAAACCACACCGTCTTCTGGAGGTGTGAAAGTTTCAGCCTCTTTATCTCTTTATCTTGTGTTTAGTGTCTGGTTGAGGATGCAGTCCAGGGTGCAAATGTAGTCTGAGGAATGGTGGGGGTGGGGTCTACACTAAACATGTAGCAATTTAAATTTAAAACTGTGTAAACAAAGTAAACCTACAGTTAGACTTATTATGTTGATATTATGCTTTATGGATATAAATGCAAAAACAAATAGTATTATTAACAGAAATACTATCAAACATTCATTACTGAAATTCAGTGTTGTTTTATTTTGCAATGGCATTTTTTCTGTTGTGTTACTAAAATGCTTGGTATGATCTGCATGTTCTTGTATATATTTTATCAAAATACCCCAATAATAAATATGATGATAATTAAGACAAAACTATTGATAACTATTATGGAATAATTCAACAAATGATCATAGTTCATCAAAAAAGTGCTGAAATCTCCAGGACAGATTAGCGCTGCTTTCTGTTTGTTGTTTCAGACTATAACTAAAATAAAAACAAACTCTTTACACTATTCAGCAAAGGGTTGGCTGGTAGTCTAGTGGTAGACTATAGTGCATAGTTTGTATAGTGCAAAGATGAACCTGCTGGTTTATCAGCACTTTCACAGCGATGCATTCTATGTAGTACAGCAGCGCTTTCTTCTGTATCTGTAACTGTGACATGTCTAGTGTTTGGTGGAGCTCCATTAGTTTGTTACATGTATATATTTCTTTTATTTATTTATTTATTTTTATTATACATGGTATAGCAGGTAGTTTTCTTAATGACAGCCACAATTCTGTCAGGTATGTGTATTGCCAGTGTCTTGAGTTAAAAAGTGTCGGCTAACTTTTTTTTTAATTAATTATTATTATTATTTTTTTTTAAGGTAACATACCTGGTCTTGCAGCATCTCTGGGAAACTGTGGATGACAGACTGACATGTTTTGTCTTTAAATATATTGAGGTGGAAATGAGTTAGAAATTTAGCAGTGTGGTGATAAATTCTGTAGCATTTTGTTCACCTCAATGAACTCACTCAGTTTTTACAAACACTCACTGACATTCACCAATATTTTCTTATTTGGGATTTGTTCCTCGGTAAGAACAGAATTGCAGACTCAAGAGCACAAAGGTGCAAACAATTCTGAGGTTTAAGACATCAGAACAGCACATTTAAGTTAAAATCCAGAAAGATATTTGTGAATGAGGCCCATTATTATTATTATTATTATTATTATTATTATTATTATTATTATTATTATTATTATTATGAGGGAAAAAGCTCAACTGAAAACAGATTAATGTAAAGAAAAGACAGTAAAATCCTCCACTCACCACTGCAGTGGTCACTGTTTCTCCTTTTACAGGTTATAAAGGCTTGAGCAGAGATCACAACCACACACACTCCCAAAGCTGCTCCCAGACAAAGCACAAAAGAATCCACAGGTTCTTCTGAAATAAATAAATAAATGACAAATAGACAAATAAACAAAAAAAATCTTACTCTATAAAAGTTTAAGCTCTAATAAAATGGGATATAAAAAAAGAAAAATGTTAGATTTCATGTCACCAATGAAACATTATATAGAACCAGCAATGGAAAGCTTCCAATATATCTCAATTTTTGTCGTTTTTTTTGTCATTTTTTAGAAGAGCTGATCTCACACTGACGTGTCCGGCAACAGCTCTGAACCAGAACACTCGGAGTTCTGCTGCAGACTGACCGACTCTCCTGGAGAAACAGACCCCTGTACTGGAGTTTGGAGCACTGATATGTTTAACTGAGGGTGATCTGGTTAATATAATAAAGACACTGATTTTAGTGCATATTGGCTTTTTAATTTTACGTAGGCTGTAATCTATTAAAGAGTAAGACTGTTTTGCTTTGTTAATAAGTTGATGCTTAGGTACGTGGTACATTAACATTATATGCATAAGCACAGTATAAGCACAATAAATAAATGCAAAACAATGTCAAACGGACTTCATATCTTATAAAATATTGAGCGTAAAAAAGTCATACTAACATATAATTAGAGTTTTCAGTTGTTATTCTACAGATGTCTATGTTAATTACCTAAAAAAACACTAAGCTAATAATTACCTGTCACGGCTAAGAATGTGCCATTAGAAAATGTAATGGAGTTCTCATCTCCTTTTCCACAGAAGTACATACGTTCATCAGCTTTATTAGTTTTTTCAATAGTCAGAGAAAAACTCTGGTTGATTTTGAATCTGTTTGATGAAGTTGTGGGCTTTTTTCACTTTAACTGCACTGCCACCTCCTGAGGTTCCTGTCCTGCTCTTTGTTTGTACCAAAACCAATGCTTTGATCAGACTTTACCATGAATTTGCAGTGTAGAGTAACATTTTCTCCAGACTCAGCTGAGATGAATGATGCTTCAGAAAGATGTACAGCTTGAGCAGAATCTATAAGATTGAATCAGATCAGAGCTCAATTGATAAAGAAAACAGGAGTAAGTAGCACAAACAATAAGACCAAAAATTAAAATTAATTTAAGATCATTTTTTAAACAGCTCGTAAACTTGCATATCATGTAGAGATAAAATTAATAATAATTATTATAATTAAATTATTAATAATTTAATAATAATTAAAATTATTATCCACACTGTGGAGCAGTGCAACTGTGTTCTCTTGAGTGGTGGCGCTCCTGCCAGTGCCTTTGGGATGAGTTGGAATGATCCAAAACTGATCATCCAACATCAGTACCTGACCTCACTAATGCTCTTGTTGATGAATTCAATCAAATTCTCACAGCAATGGTCCAACATCTAGTGTAAAGCCCTCACAGAAGTAGAAGTAGAGGCTGTTACTGTAGCGAAGGGGGACAAACTCCCTATTAATACCCTTCATTTCAGATTGAGCTGTAATGAACACTGTGTGGTGTTCAGGTGTCTAGAAACATTTAGACAGATACAAAATATAATTTAATGGGCTAATTATTTATAAAAAGCCAAAACATTCTAAGCTTTATCAGTGAAGAACCGTGACTATTAGAGCTAGGCCTTTAATTCAGACCATGTCAAAACTGGCACTGTTATCCGATTTGGTAAGTTCCTCCACAGTGAACCAACAAACGTTTTTGTTGTTGTTGGTATTTTGGAAAAAGAAGTGTTAGAGACTCATTAAACTATTAAAGCCCAAGTGTTGCGAAGTATATATTTCAAAGCTGTGAGTTTAGGTGATTTTTTATGCTTAACAATTTGCATAGGTATATCTGTTTGTAGACGTCTGGCTGCCCTGGACAAATGACCCATTTTGTTGTTTTTCTATGTAAAAAGAGTTAATGCAGATAATTAGATAAGACTTTATTAATTTCCAAAAGTATAGCTAAAAAATACAATATGGGTGTTGCATTTAACTAATTAGAGTCACAGTTAAGTCAATATTTACTTAACATATTAAATAAATAATATGTATATATTAATAATAATATATATATATATATATATATATATATATATATATATATATATATATATATATATATATATATATATATATATATAAATTTGTGTTCTGTGTAGATGTGTTAACTTATTTTCACTTAGAAAATCAGCAAAGTGTCCTGTGACTGTTCAAACATTTGTACATGACTGATTATCCAAGTGTTTATTGTGCTTCATTATTAAAAGCACTGAGAACAGATACAGGCAGATTTGTCACTTGAAGAAATTTCAACCATATCAGATTCTCAGTAGAAAAGTTTATAAAGAGTACCTGTCTGGTGGTCCTCACACTCACAGCCCCCTCCTGAACTTTCTCTGTAGAGGAGATAAAACTACTTTTCACAATTACTTTCAGATACAGTTTAATCAGCTATATTTATTGATACGTATTATCACTGTTTTTTTTTATTATTATTATTTTCTTTCTATCAAAATGTTCAGCTGCATCTCATAATGAACACTTACCACCAGGGTGGTGTTCAGATTTTCTCAGTTTATGGATTAAAATGAGTTGAGCGCAGATTACAGCCACACACACTGCTGAGAAAACTGCCAGAATCAGCATTACAGGACCTACAGGAGCTTCTGTAAGAGAGAAATTACCAACATACTGTATACATGAATACAAAATTCAAGCCACAAAAATACATTTTCCATCTAACTTTTTTAGCTTGAATTTTGTTAATATTCTATTATTTCCCAATCATTTTCCACCCCAAGCTTCTGCACTTTTCTTCGCTCACAGGACAGACAGAATTGTTCACAGTGCTGATGATAAGAACCAGAGATCTGAAGTGTTTAATGCCTCTAACAGGTCACTAACCCCCACTTACCACAAAATCTGGTTCAACTGGATTCAACATTAGACAAGTAAAAATGAGTAAAGTTCAGATAACATGTGTTAATGGACTGGTGGTCTTGGGTAGCAAATGAAATAATCACCACTGTAAAGAAATCCGAGTAAGTAAGTTTTTTTTTTTACAATGAAATATTTCACTTTAAATCACTCAGTGGAACATTGTTTTCTTAATTTTCTTCTCAGATCAACAGATGCAACATCATTTTGGGTTCAAACCTATAGATTAAACATTGTAGTGTATCAGTGGTTTATGATCTATGGTCTTACAGTTACAAAACCCCTTTCTGTCATATTTTCTATTGTCTGTTTTGATGCTGATACATGTCATTAACATTCATTTGAAGCCCAAATCATTGTTAGAATGTAATTCCTTTATTATTGTTCTACAGCACTCTCAATTTCTTGTGTAGTATTTTATTTGCCTTACAAACTTTGAATTGAGGCCAAATGAAAAGAAAAAAAAATACAAACATTAACACACATATACTGCACAGGTGCCCAGTAGTACACAGAAAGACTTACTTACTTCTACTGTTGTCCCGTTCCCAAAAATGATCTTCCCACAAGCAGCCACAGAGCAGTAGTAAGTTCCAGTATGGTTGTAGTTGAGGATGTCCTTATATAACTCATACAGAGAGCAGCTTGTAGAAAAGCTGATCCCACACTGACGGCTGCTGCTGTTCTGATGAGTGTAAATGATTTCAGGAAAGGATTGTCCTGCAGCAGCTCTGAACCAGAGCACTCGGAGTTCTGCTGCTCTGATCTCAGAGAGGACCGTGCACTGCAGAGTGACTGACTCTCCTGGAGAAACTGACCCCTGTACTGGAGTCTGGAGCACTGATATGTTTAACTGTCCTAGAAAATATAATATAAACAGTGTAAGTATTTGTATTCAATAGTAACAGTGTCACTACAAGATAAAAATAGTTTAAAAACAGCAACTGTGATTGTAATAAGTAATGGACATTTACAGAATCATAATGTATACATTTTCATTAGTAATAGCAATAATGCATTTGAAACTGGCCTCATATTATAGATTGTAAGTATAAACAATGAAAAGGCAAGTTTATTTATATTTAGATAATATTTCATACACAAGAGCAATTCAGTGTGTTTTAGACTCTGATGAAGTCAAATCAATGAGCAGAAAACGCCAAAAATAATAAAAGAATTATCTTACCTTTGACCGCTAAGAATGTAGCAGTAGTAAAGTCCAGTGTTTTCTTTCTGGTCTCTCCACAGAAGTACATTCCTTCATCTTCTTTAGTGACACGTTCAAATGCCACTCGCAATTCTGTTGATTTTAAATCTTTTTGATTTGTAAAATTGATCTGAAATCATGGCCGACTTTCCTTCTAACAGTGATCCCACTTCCAGTGGCGCATGCTCCAGTCTTTGTTTGTACCACATGCTAACATTTTTATTTGAGTTGTCTGCAAATGTGCAGGTGAGTGTGTCTGCTTCACCGGGCCCAGCTGAGATGACCAACGGCTCTGAATTTCCCACTGCTTGAGTTCAGTCTAAGTCAAAAAGAAAAACTTGGTTGAACATATTTAACAATAATAAAAACTAAAACTATTTTTATATGGTAACTTTATGAAACTTACCTATTCTGTAGAGAAGTAAGATGATAATCACAGCTGGATCCATTATCAGAAAAACAACAGCTACAACTCAAAGGTGAATATTCTAAAGGCTGTAACTGCTTAAAGCATCAAACTGCATTAGCTTGCTGGGTTCTTATACTGAAGTTCATTGGCTGGTAAAAGTCTCGTGGTTCTTTCTATCTGCTTGATTTGATCTGTTTCGCCACAGAAAGTGCTCTTTGCTCTGTGTGAGCTCTTATCAGTAGTTGTGGTTGTCATACTCTCTGTTATCAGCTCTACAGAGAAGCAGCCATATATATAAATTTAAACTGAAGTTCTCAAAAGAAATTAAAAATGGAGATGTAATGTTTTGTCCTGACAGTGATGATACGCAGCTGTTGTAGTTATAATCTGTTGAATATGACAGTTTTTTTTTTACCTGTTTAACTTTTTACCCTCCATCATAAAGTGGAGAATAAGAAGTTGCATTTTCTAAATCTAACCACGTTTAAATCATCTTACAGCCAAAATACACTGATCCCAGTGAATGAATGAATGAAAACCTAACATCATGTAAAATGCTCACAGGGTAATACTAAAATTAGTAGCAATTAAAATATTTAAATGATTTAATTTTTTTTCACATTTTATTATTGTATATTCTATGCAATTCGTCACAGCATATATTTTTGGCAAGTCTTTAACATGTACATTTCAAACATTTACACATTTTTATACACTTTATTTCTGCCTAGCAGTACAGTATATAACTATGGCTTCATTGTGTGGAACAACTGCAAGTTGTCAAAAACAACTACTTGTATGTGCAGTCAGGAATAAATGGTAAAATATATGTCTGTAGTAAGTAAGAAACCAGTTCATATCAATTTTATTTTTTAATAAATTAATTTTTTTACAGTTATTCTTGTTTAAAATACTTTTACATATATTTAGGATTTGATGTGTTTGAAGTGTTTAATTTTTTCCAGATAATGTAATTAAACTCAGTTAAAGTAACATGCATGCATCTAATGTATCAGATGATAATAAATAGAACATCAGTTGTGCCTAGTTACCATGTTCGTTTATCCATTCAGAACACATTTCTCTGCATTTATTTGCATTTATTTGCAGCATGTAACAAAAAAAATAAAAAATCAACAAAATTTTAGCTTTCACCTTAAAATATCTGCAACAAAATCAATTAAGAAATTGCATCAAAAACATTAAAAAAAGCACGAACAATGAAGTAAAATAAAATTTCAAAATCTTTCCTTAATAATTTGTGTGCTTCTATTAGCCAAAGCTCAAAGGTAAAACAATGTAGATGAGAATAAAAACAGGTACAGTAATTGCATGTCTTGTTGATTTTCCAAGCAAAAATAGCCAAACACAACCTCTACAATGAGAACATTTACATTTTTTCTGCCAATTTCTGTGCACTGGGCATATTTATTTAGTTTAATTAAAAAAAAAAAAAAAATGGTGCATAACTTTTTATTTTATTGTACTCCCCCCCCAATATGTTAAATTCAGTAAATAAACAGTAACTGTGCATGTAGATCTGTTCTCACTACAACCTGAAACATGTCCCCTACATTTCCATTGAGAGCAAACAATATCAGACACCATCTGAGCTCATAAGTGTTTGTCAAACATGAGACGTGTGAGTGACCACACACTCTAAAACTGTGTTCTTGCTCCTTCAGGGAACTGACACTTCATACCAAATTAGACTGTTTTATTTTTCAGTCATGCAGTTTTGAGCACAGAGCAAAGTGAAGCACATGATTGTAGATCCTGACTGAAATCAGCACAAACACAAATAAACAGATACAGATTACAAAGCTGACAGTAACAGAAAATATCAACAAACTTCACTTCTGCTGCTACAAGAGAAGAGAGTCCAGTGAGTCAGTGATTGTTGGGGTCAGTAACTGAGAAGTATCTGACTTCAGAGTAAACACTGTCTCCAGAGCGTCCACTCTTCATTCTCAGACTTTTGGCTGCATAATTCAGCTCCACAGCAGCAGAGTCCTGTACAGATGAATATGAAATATTAAAGGCTGAAGATTAGAGAATTCTATGGGAATTAAACAGTGTCAGTGTGAATGAGAGAACATGTAGTACCTGACTGGGTTTGTTCTCCACCACCGAATCATGATCTCTCACTATGATGGAATAAAGAAAGATTACAGTGTCATATTTAGAGCTTAGATCAGAGAATATGACCTCAGTGCTGGTCACTTTTAGTTACAGTCAGTTTGACTTAATGAACACTGGAAGATCATTTTACTACTCTTTTGTTAAGAGATTGTCAAATGTGATATATTTCTTCTTCTTCTTCTTCTTCTTCTTCTTCTTCTTATTATTATTATTATTATTATTATTATTATTATTATTATTATTATTATTATTGAGGCAGTGAAGTGCTGCCATGTCCTGGAGTAATATGTTCACTCTTCTGTGTTGATGTAAGAACACTTTCTGATGATTCTGTACAAGCTGTGGTCTGTCGATACTCTTTTGAATATTTCAGGGAACAATTGATTACAGTAATACAAACTGGAGAAAACAAACTTATTGGTCAACTTCTTAGCATCGTGCCATGTGACAAATATTGTGATAGGTCTTAACCAATGTTACTAATCAATCATTATTAATAAAAGTACAATAACACCATATATAACAGATTAAGCTACACTCACCACTGCAGTTTTGAATGGCCTGAGCACAGATCACAATCACACAGATTCCCAAAGCTGCTCCCAGATAGAACACAGTGGGATTCACAAGACCCTCTGTAAGGTATAAATGATCAAACCACTATAATAATTACTTTCTTATAAGTTTAAAGCAAACACTGATTGTAGTATGTTATTGCACCACCATGACACCAATAAAGCTATTGCATTAAACTAACATTAAAATAACAGAAATTAAGGTGATCAGAGCTTTAGTTCAATCTATCAATTATGTTTAAATAAAAAGGAAGCCACTCTTTTTTATTTAGATTTATGTTTAATGGCAAAATGCTGTTCACTGAAACTGCAATGATGTCAATCAATTCACATGTGCGCCAATCAATTCACTCCACACAGCTCTAGAATACTGTCATATTTGGAATAAATTTAGAGTTTGTGATTTATCTTCATTACAGCGAAGTGAATCGTTGACCAACAACTGTACACAGTTTGAAGCGTACAGACACACAACACAAAGCACACAGATAGACTTACCCAGTTGTACTAATGCTCCATTGCTAAAAAGGAGAAGTTGTACACAGAGCTGTGTGTAGAAGAGCTGATCTCACACTGACGGCTGCTGCTGTTCTGATGAGTGTAAATGATTTCAGGAAAGGATTGTCCTGCAGCAGCTCTGAACCAGAGCACTCGGAGTTCTGCTGCTCCAATCTTAGAGAGCACCGTGCACAGAAGATTCACTGACCCTCCTGGAGAGACTGACCACCATACTGGAGTTTGGAGCACCGAAATGTTTAACTGTGGATGACCTGGTCAGTGTAATTGAGACATTGTAAGATATAGGAATATATGAATTTATAAAGCACAGATTAGAAATGAATTATTAAAATTAAATTTCTTTTCAAAATGCGTAAATATTGTAGCACTATAAACAGAGTATTGTGTTAAAAATTAACATTTATACACATAATACATTTTAATTATAACCACAATATACACACAACAAATCCAATGCTGTGTCAGTGTAATTGACTTCACTTCTTATAAAAGATTGAATGTAATAAAGTAAACCATAAAAAACATTTGGTTAAAGTTTTCTATTGTTGTAAAGTTTGTTGTAAGTTTATATGTTATATAATCATCATAAACAAACAGTTTATTACCTGTCACGGCTAAGAATGTGCCACTAGAAAATGTAATAGTGTTCCTGTGTCCTTCTCCACAGAAATACATTCCTTCATCAGTTTTATTAGTTTGCTCAATAATCAGATCAAAATTTTGGTTTATTTTGAATCTGTTCAATGAAGTAGTGGGTAATTTGTCAGTTAACTTCATTGCCACTTCCTGAGGTTCCTGTCCTGCTCTTTGTTTGTACCAAACCCAAATGTTTTGAGCAAACGTTTCCACGAATTTGCAGTGTAGAGTAACATTTTCACCAGACTCAGCTGAGACAAATGATGCCTCAGAAAGATCCACAGCTTGAGCAGAATCTATAAGACAGAATCAGATCAGAGCTCAGCTGATAAAGACAATTGCAAATGATATTTCAACACACACAGTAAACAATAAACCCCAAAATTAAATTTTACTGTGGGTCCAAAAAAGTTAAATAACGAAAACTTACGTATCATGTAAAGATGTAAAACCAGCATCCAAATCAGAGCCATTGTGTTAAATTCAAGCTGTTCTTATTTGAAACAATCTGGAAAGTAAGTAATTAACAACAGTAACACACTGTTTTAGCTGGCTGGGCTCAGGAGATTAAGCTCATTGGCTGTCACAGGATCTTTTTTTTATCTGTCTGCTCTTCTTTTCACTCATGATTGGCCACAAGAAGTTCCTTGGCCTCTTATAAAAACCTCTTAAGCCTCTCTCCAACAGGTTACTACATGAAATGGTAACAAATACATACATCGTTTTTCTACTGTAGTTTTGAAATAATGTTTTGGTCTAAAATACATTTATTAAAGCACATTCATGGTGGAGTGGTACATGGGAAGTCCCCAAAGAAGCCCTAAAGTAATAACAAATGTATATGTTTAAAAGATGCAATAATAATCAATTTGAAAGAAACAAGAAACTGCAATTCAGGAAAAAAAAACCACACATATAAATCACTGTAAAAAATATCAAATGATATAATGAATAAAAGTTGAACATTAGCTGTAGTTTGTCTATACTCTTTTTTGGAGATGCCAGAAAATAACGCATTAAAATAAAAATAAAAGGGAAAACAAACACAGTAGTCAACTTTTTAATATCATTCTATGTGAGATGAAGTCCTGACCAACATTTTCAGACCAGCCTTAAATAACTTTGTTTAAATCTCAACAACTTAATCACTCAGATACTTTGAACATAGGTGGAATTTGTCTTAAAGTTGGGAGACTTAAAAACACGAGCAAAATTTTAAAAATAAATTAATAGAACTGCAAACATATCGCACATATTCTTCTGATATACATTGTCCACAGTACTGGATGACTAAAAATACTTTCAGTCATTAATAAAAATGTTTGAGCAGATGTAGAATAATATTCAGGATACTGAGATAAGTATTTTCGAATGACCAAGTCAGTGTCCTGTATGACAATGTTCCTGTAAAACAGGGTTAAAATTACATGATAAGGCAGAAGGTGTGGCTTATATTCACTATAGTCTCCCAAGTCTGAGAGGAAAGAACTATGAAACCACAGTAGATACCCAGAGCTCAGCCAATGATCACATTGCCTCCTACTGATAACAACAGGCTTTTGTACATTCTAATGGCAAACTAGAGGACTTAATATTAAAGTCTGCTTATAAGAACTTTATAAGATATAAGTTATAACGTTATAACTTTATAACTTTATAAGAAAAAAATATATACAAATATACAAATAGTAAACAAAATAAAGGCCCACTTTATATGTAGGCTCTCTAATAACTGTGTAATTAAACATTAACAATGATGGAACTACTAGAGGTGTATTCTCTGTTACAGACAGATTTGACTACTACAGTTTATGTAAACACACATGTAGCTTAATTTTTAGTCATATAATCACATGTGTATTTTGATAGTTGTAATAGTGTTTTTTCATTCTTTTATTTGTAGCAATATGATTGGTAACAACATGGTAACCTATCCAAAAGTCTGGCTTTAAGCCATTCTGTAATGAGATGGTATTTTCACAGCGATAGCAGATTTGTCTTCATATAGGGACTGAGAAATCGGTATTGATCCAGTTGATTTGATCACATTGCCATGTTACAACTGAAATGTGCCACAGTAACTATGTGAATGTTACACTTCTGACAGTGAAGTTACAGACTGGTAATCCAGACATGGCTTTTTGATTGTGTAATACAACACTAGTGTTTTAATGAATTACATAAATATTACTTTTAAAGATATGTGATATTGCCATCATATTACAGATTGGTTTAAAGACAAAACGGTGGTTAGGTTCATGACAGCATTTTAGTTTAACTAACTAAATAATAGGTAAATTGGCATTAGATATAATGTAAATATTGTTATATTGTATGTTTTTGCTCTTGCTGTTACAATCAGAAAAATATTGTTGGAAAAAGAACAGTTCAATCTTTTACACATTGTAATGTCAGAAAAGAAAATGTACTGTTATAATAAATTTTTAGCTTTTAATGTACTTTAATGTAATATAATTTTTGTAACATTTTAGTTGGTCCATTCATTTAGTACATTGTAAAGGACAAATCAAGCTTTAAAAAGTTAGACAAAACTTCAAATTTGTATTTTTTTTATTATATTAAATATATTTCAAGTGAAAAACAAAAATACAGAGTTTTGAAAACTGAATTAGTTATGATGACATTTCCTGTTAGAATTGTTCTCTCAAAACCAAAAAAATCAGGTATTTTTATAAATACAGATTATCTATTGAAGATACGCTGCTGCTAATTTTACAGGATTTTCATGTTCACAGTTTTCCAAAAAGAAGATTTGACTTCATGCTTGAATCTAAATCTCCTTAAATGATCAACTGAACCAGCTGAAATCTGCTTTGAACAGAAAACAGCAACATAGAAGGCATGAATATCAATGGATACAAAGAAAATAATATAATCTATTGCATTATGAGATGTAAATGAAGGAGAGTGAAACTACAGACCCAAATCTTTGAATTGGGAGCTGACTGTATTCTGTTCCTAAACTATTAGAAAATGAGTTTAACACCATTGACTAATAAACTACATCTGTGAGCAAGTGACTAATGTTTAACACAATGTATGATGTGTTAATAATATCATACATAAATTTCAAGGACACTGAAATGAAAAAGTAAAAATAGTTTTATTTATGCTTATGTGTTTTTATAATATACAGAGCTCAATGTATTTTGAAAAATTGTATTGAGAGGAAAATTATAGATCTCCAGTCTGCTTATTTAGAGTTATGAAGAACATCACACACAAGAATTACATTTATTTAATTTAAAATTGTTGTTAAAACAGCACCTTCTGTAGCAATACAAACCATCTAATCAAAGAAAATGACCAACTGGTCATCAGCCACCAGTCTGAAGCTGGACCACTGACAGGACACAGTGACTTGCCAAAGTTCCCCAGTCAAATAATGTTTTGTTGATTTTTGTAATACAAATATGTTAACACATCTAGAGAGAACAAGAAAAAAAAAAATAAAACTGATTGTTCTGTAGCAGTTTTACAGACCGTGTTTTATATAATTCAGAAAATATGAAAATAGCAATAAAGGTTATAGTGGCCACACACTTGTAATCATAGAACTGAGACTTCATTTTAATCAGCAGAACTCTCACCTAACAAGAAACAAACAGCTACAGATAAAAGACTGGAGCTCATTTGAGGCACGAAAAGGTCCAAATCTTCACTCATGATCATCTTAGGAAACTAGAGATGTGAGCGCTGAGCAGCAGCTTTGGAGTTTCCCACTTGAGAGTACACAATGTCGTCAGGCTGTTCTCTCTTCACTCTCCCACCTTTGGCTTTCTTCTCTTTGATGTGGACGGCAGCGTAATGCAGGTTCTCAGTGTTTTGTTCCTGTAGGAAATAAATATCATCATATACTGAAAAATATATACAAACTTGAAAAA